ACAATAGGGTTTGAGAGTTTGATTACATATAGGGAAGGTTATAGCACCTTTACAATACCCATCCTAAAAAATGATACCATTTTAATTTAAGTTATCCTAAGGATTTATGTTCTACTAATATTTATTTTAACATTTAAATATTAGAAATAATTGCTAAGATTTTCTATCAATCTAGCAGAATTTTTTAAAAAATATTTTCTTACCTTAAGAGTATTTAAAAATCTCATTTATTTTCTTAAAGAGACTTCGTCACCGAAAAAACTTAACTTTGTTTTGTTGTAAATATATCTAATTTTCTCACACTTGGACTTAAATAAGAAATATTTTCTTACATAAAAATATTTTAGATAATCATCATTTTGCGATTATTAAGAATTTCATCATCGAAATTTTATTTTTTATTTTACAAGTTTTATTTCTAAATTTTTCACCGTTTGGGTTTATTTAAAAAAATCTCCTACAAGTTTCATAATCTTTGGAAGAAAAAAATATGACAATTTTTTTTAAAGTCTCATTTAAATTCTTCCACTATTTAGGTTGAATTTAGAAAAAAACCTTTTTAGCTAGAAATCTTATGAAAATTCAACCATTTGTGATTTTTCTTAAGATTTTATCCTTGGATGATTGTCAAATATTTTCTCCCAATTTTTTTGTCTTATTCTTAATTTTTATTTGAAAAAAGAATACAATTTTTTATTGAAATTTAATCTAAATTATTCTACCATTTGAGACAAATTTAGAGAAATTTCTCACCTAGAGATTTCTTAAAAAATTTACTATTTAAAATTTCTAAGAATCTCATCATTGAATAATTAGTATTTATTCTCAAAATTCATTAAATTTGCCTATATACATATTTTTATATTTTTTAAAAATTAAAAATAAATATTTATTATTATTATTAAAACTTTATCTAAATTTTTCTCCATTTAGGATAAATTTTTAAAAAAATTTCACCTAGAAATTTCTTAAAAAATTTATCATTTGAAATTTCTAAAAATTTCATTCTTGGATAATTATTATTAATTCTCAAAAATTTTATTAATTTTTTATTTTGTTTTATTTTTTTGTAAATACTTTCTAATTTTTCCTAAAAATTATACATAAATAGTCAAACTAAATAAAACAAACAAACAAATAAATAGACAATTATGATAAAACACAAAAGATAACTAGAATTTAAAAAAAAGACAAGTAAAATATAAATAGTAAAAATTGAGTCATAATTTATTCCAAAGCACGTAAGCCTTTATAATTGTGTTTTTTCTTAACTTCTTTCCCCAACGTAAAACTCTGAAAAGAAAATTTTAATTATCTAAACCTAAAACACTAACAAAAACTAAAAAAAAAAAAAACTCTTAATTTTTCTGCTTTATTTTTACTCTTTCTTTTTTGATTTTTTTGATTGATTCTTGATTCATCCTCATGAGATCCTTTTATATGCCTTTAATCCAAATCACAAGAGGAAAAGATTTTTTTAGTTTCAATCTCTTAATCAAAGTTAATTTTAGATTTTTAATCTAAGTCCACCTTTTAACCCAATACATTTTTTTCAATTAGAACAGTAGACTTCAAACCAAATCAATCTCTTTCTTTTTTTTCTTTTTTTCTTTTTTTTTTTAAACTATAAATCAATTAATTAACAAAATAAATAATCCTAAATTAAACAAAATACTAAAATCCTAAAATTAAATAAAAAAATATCATAAACTAAATATAGTATTTACAGCTGTCTCTTTTTACATATTTTCTGTGAAATATGAATTGTGCAAAGACATAGATATCCATTACATCTGAATAACCAACTTGATATTTTTTAAAAAAAACTCTTTTAAATAGAAACTCAGACTTTTTGAACAACATAAAAAGTTCTCCTAAACAAAAGCTCAATAGCTTTTTAAAATATAAAAAGATCTTATCAACAGAGGTTCAATCATTTTTGAAAAATATAAAAAATTTATTTCAACAGAGGCTTAACAACTTCTAAAAAATATAAATATATTATCACTTTTGCTTAACAAATTCAGCTCGAAAGACTTACGAATCTTGCCTAAAAGACTTGAGATTATGGCTGTGGGTCTTACTAATTTCAACATGAAAACAAATTCAGCTCAAAAGACTTACTAATCTTTTCCAGAGGACTTAGGGATTATGCTCAAAGATCTTATAAATCCCAACACTTAAATACTTCTTTAAACAAAAAGCTCAACAATTTTAAAAATATAAAAAAAATTCTTATCTGAAGGAGATTAGAGGTTCATTCAAATATTCAAATTGAAAATTTGAGATTCTCACCGAAAGATTCTCAAGTTTTGCATACTTTTTCGAGATTCGCATTAAGGATTCAAATATTCACATTTGAAAATATTAAAGATTCATATCCAAAATTCAAATATTTTTATTTAAAAAGTTCAAATCTAAAATTCAATGTCTCGAGAATTCGCATCAAAGATTTTCATCTTATGGTTAAAAAAAAAAAAAATCTCTAAATAGAGGTTATAAAACTTTAAAACTGAAAAAGCTCCTTAGCCAAGATTTACCAACTCTTTTTGAAATCATCCAAATATTTCAAACTTTATCTTTGCAAAGTTTTCTTCATACGAGGCTTAAAATCTCATCAAAAGGTCTTATTTTTTTTTTGAACTTTTGTTTTTCTTTTCTTACAAATCATTTCTTTTCTTTGGAAAAACTTTTCCTTAATAAAAGTTTTGAAACTTTAAAAATCATTTTTTTGAACTAAAAACATCTCATCTTGAAAAAGGTTTTACTCTCTAATTAAAGCTAAATACTTTTACAAATCTCATTTTAAATATTTTTCTTAACCCAAAACTTTTTGCTTTTGTCATGAAAATTTTTCTTAATCGAAAATTAAAATCTCATACTCAAAAAGTTATCCTCAATCGAGAGTTAGAATCTCATATTTTTTAATTTTTAACGTTTCAAAATCAAAATTAATAATAATAATAAATAACAATTGATCCCAAACACATATAGATATTTACACCTTTGTATGAGAAAGATTTATTTATTGAACTTTGAACTTGAAGGAGATTGTTGAAGATTACCTGTCAACAGCATTTTAACACCGAAATTCCAAAGGAAGTCCGGACCTTCCTCAATGGTAACTCTGATTTAGGGTACCCTTTAATAATTACCTCAACTTTGATCCGGGGAGGACAATCTTTCTCGATTAGGCTAAAACTTTGGCAGTATCCAGCCTCCTTTTATGCAACGTGCTGTCATCCAATGATATGAAATTTCCCCATAAGTTCCTAATTCTTTTTAATAAGTCATAGCACCAACCATGAATAGGAACACCTTCAATCTTCAACCAAGCAAACTTATTGTTTTAGTTTTTTATATCAAAGGAAACAATATTTTATATGCATGAGATTAAAAAAGTTCTCAAAACAAAAATTTAATAATCAATTAAGTCATTGATATTTTATTACAATCAATTAAGTCTTACATTTTTTTATTTCAAATCAATTAAATTCTTAAATATTTATTTTTATCCAATTGAATCTTTATATATCTATTTTTACTCAATTAAACCCTTGATTGGATGAAAATAATTAACTATTTTTCCTCTGACAATTACTCAATTAATAAAAATAAATGTTTGAGGGTTTAATTAATTGAAAAAAATAAGGGCTTGAATTTTAGTTTAGGGAATTTTTTTTTACCCTTTTGCCTATTTTATATTAAAAGGCGTTCATATTATTAATTATTTTTTTGCTATTGTAATTGTTTATTTAATTTCATATAAAATTTTTTTTATTTTTTTACACAAGTATGACGTGAATAAGTTTAAATACATTGAATTGTTATATAATTCGTTTTATTATCTTATACGCATTGACTGTAGCTTTCTACCATTCTCCAATTTATTAACTTTTTTTTCTAATACTATTATTCATTCTATATTTGAAAATTTGTAAAACATTGAAAAGTTATTTTTTTTTGTGCAACATTTCGAATGAACTTATATATTTTAAATAGTTTATGTATTTTAAGTAAACATAATTGTGATAAATATTTCTTATTTCATTTGAAATAAAAAATGTTTATATGCATGTGAACTTTAAAAAACAATTACTCTTATATAAAGTTTATTACTTATATTATAATTAATTTTTTAATATAATTATATACTTGTACATGGTACGACTTCAAACTAGCATTATCTAATAGGGGTTTAACTAAAAAAAAAAAAATACTTAGTCATGCTTTACTAGAAGAATTATCCACTTTGTTTCTAGCATATAAGTTGGGATTGATTCTCTCAAAATTTTCATTTAAAAATAAATCTTAAACAACAAAATTATTCCGGAACTTAATCATTTCTTTATTTTTCCTATACTTTGATATAACTTTTAATTTTAAAGCCTACCCCTCCATATATATTAATTGTTTTTTTTGTACGATTTAAGTAAAAGATATTAAATGTCTATTTTGATATTTTAATTTTAATTTCATTCTATATGTTAAAGTATTATGTTCAAAGCAAATATTATATTAGATTTTATTATGTTTGACATTATATAACTTTAAATATATATATATTTTTTGAGTTGTTAATAAATATTATAATTTTAAGAAAATTTATATTATATATACTTATTTATATATAAGTATACTTTCGTACATAGTGCAGTTTAAAATTAGGGTATAAAATCAAGTGATATTGCCTGGAGGTAGAGTAGCTCAGACCACTAGAGCCAAGATGCCTAAATTCTGATAGTGATGCAAATCAAAAAGCCAATTGATGGGCTGCTGATGTAGAATATAGTAATATACTAATAGTAGGCTTTGTTGATATTAATTTGATAGCTATAGCTATGGAAAAAGATGACAGCTAATTCCACATATTTTGTTGATTTTTTTCCAAAAAAAAAAAATGCTAGCTGAAATGAGTATGGGGCATGGGCTCTCAAATCTCATTTTCGGTTATTAGTGCTGGTGGCGGCGCAAATTGATATTTCAATTTTAAACTTTTGATTTTTGTTTATTTCCGTTATAACTCATTAAAGCCCTAGGCTGTTTAACCTTTACTTCTACAGTCCACAAAAATCTCTATATAAACAAACCTCCCATCTCATAGTTTAACCCAAAAAGGAAAACTAAACCCACTCAAACAAACATCCATCCATCAATACCCATTTTATAATTCCTTTCTCCATGGAAACATTCTCTGATTGCTTCTGGGTTTTGTTTGTTGCTTCCAAATGCAAAACTTTCTCCTCGCAAAACTTCATTTTGCTTCTTCTTTTCCTTTGCATGGCTTGGCTGGCCATGTCTCTGTGCTTCTGGTTCTACCCTGGAGGCCCTGCCTGGGGTAAGCATTTTTGGCTGCGGAAAAGGTCAGCCACAAAACTCAATAACAATATCATTCCAGGGCCAAGAGGGTTCCCTGTTGTTGGAAGCATGAACCTCATGGTTAACCTGGCTCACCGCAAGCTTTCTGCTGCTGCCAAGTCTTTTGGGGCTAAGCGGCTCATGGCCTTTAGCTTGGGTGATACTCGGGTTATCATTACATGCAACCCTGATGTAGCCAAAGAGATTCTTAACAGTTCCGTTTTTGCTGATCGTCCAGTGAAAGAGTCAGCATATAGTTTAATGTTCAACAGAGCGATTGGCTTCGCTCCTTACGGGGTTTACTGGCGAACTCTAAGAAGAATTGCCGCAACACATCTCTTTTCTCCTAAACAAATCAGCTCCACCGAGGCACAGAGGTTCGGTATCGCCTCCCAAATGGTTTCTATAATGGCATGTCGTGGTGGAGAGTTCTCTGTACGCGATATAATCAAGAAAGCTTCCCTCAACAACATGATGTGCTCAGTGTTCGGTAGTAAATATCAACTGGGCTCATCAAATAGTGAAACTCAAAAACTCAGCCAGCTCGTTGAAGAAGGTTACGACCTACTAGGGAAGCTCAATTGGTCTGATCATCTTCCATGGCTTGCTCGTTTAGACCTTCAAAGAATCCGGCTTCGATGTTCAGAACTTGTTCCCAAAGTGAACAAATTTGTGAACAGAATCATTCAAGAACATAAACTCCAAACGGGAAGAAGAAACCATGATTTTGTGGACGTTTTACTTTCTCTCAATGGACCCGATAGACTTTCGGACAACGAGATGATTGCCGTTCTCTGGGTAAGCAACAAACTTAATGTGATAATAATTAATAAAGAAAACCAATTTGTTATTATATGCATGTTTTTGTTCTCTTGCGTGATGTTTTCTACATGTGAAATTGCATGGGAAAAGAATCAAAGATGTAATCTGATAATGATTTGGGATCGGTTTGTTGATTAGATTCTGATAATATATATTTAGTGAATCTCCGAATTTAATTACTTTATTTTGATAAATTTTTATATTTTTATTGTATCTAAATAAATTATTAATATTTTATTTGTATTTAACTAAATTTTTATTTTAAATAAAAATTGATTTATATTAAAGATTTATTCATTTACAAATTAAAAATTATGAATTTATTTGAATACAAATTAAAATTTAAAATTTTATTTAAATAAAATGATAAAATTTAACGACTTTTCTATTATTTCATCCTATATATTTCCTTAGATTTTTCAAGAATTTCTTAGCGACAAACGAAGCATTATTCTCTTTGATTAGAAAATTAACTGCTTGTTTTTAATCATGCTATTCTCATTGCACAGGAGATGATATTTAGAGGAACCGATACTGTGGCAGTTTTAATAGAATGGATATTGGCGAGAATGGTGCTTCACCCTGAAATCCAATCCAAAGTGCAGGCCGAGCTTGATCAAGTTGTTGGGAAATCACGGCCGTTGATGGAATCAGACATTCTATCGATGTTTTACCTGCCAGCAGTGGTGAAGGAGGTTCTTAGGCTGCACCCACCTGGCCCACTTCTATCCTGGGCCCGTTTGGCAATCACAGACACTACTATTGATGGATATCACGTGCCTCCTGGGACCACAGCCATGGTTAACATGTGGGCCATCACCAGGGACCCAGATGTTTGGATAGACCCACTCAAGTTCATGCCAGAGAGATTCGTGTCCAAGGACAGTGCTGATGTGGAGTTCTCTGTGTTGGGGTCTGACCTCAGGTTGGCTCCATTCGGGTCAGGCCGTAGGACTTGCCCTGGAAAGACTTTGGGTTTGGCCACTGTTAGCTTCTGGGTCGGCTTCTTGTTGCATGAGTTCGAGTGGATGCAATCAGATGATAATCCGGTTGATCTCACCGAAATGCTTAGGCTCTCCTGCGAAATGGCTAACCCTCTGAAGGTCAAAGTGCACCCCAGGCGCTGTTAAAAAAGACCAAAATAAGTGTGAAAGTTGAAACGTTAATCGCATAATTTAAGATTTGCTAAGTCTCACCAACCTGTTAGATATGCTGGACTTAAATGTAAATATAGCAGGTGTTTGCTATCTACGAATCCCAATGCCTTAATCTTGACGTGCGTTGCTATTATATGGCGATCTAGCAATAAGCTAGAGCTAGCAATGTGTAAATTGTAACTATTTAACTGAAATATGGTTTTGATCTCGTTTGGGTTTCACTTTTTAATCCAAAACATCTTATAAAATTGATCACAGTATTAAACCACTAATGGAATATTCAAACCCATATGGATCGAATATCCACCATGGTGACAGTGCTCACCTTAACCCAATCGACAAAGGAGGACAAATCTAAAGCTCAGCATGCTTGAAGTTGATTGCATTAATTTTGTTGAGTTAATTTGCTAGTGCCATCCAGTAGTAATATGTTTTCTTTGCAGTGGGCCATTAAATTTGATGCAGACACATCACAATTCACTCTATATACAGTTTTTTTTTTGTTGCCATTCACGTTGTATACATTTAATAAACATAATAACAGCTCTGCTTTTCTGCACAATGTGCCCATGACACTTTCTTTTTAAACCGTCCATGGAACTCCAAGGACGAGCGAAATCGGACAACATTTTACATTTCAAGAAGAAAGTATATGGCGACGAATTGTGTGTCAAAAAGGACTAATCATACTATATTGAAAAGCTAAAAGGGTTAGGTGAATGAAGCAGGAAGCTAAAAACAGTGGAACATTGATTGGATGTTTATCTAAACTTATTCAATACAAATGAAGATAAGCGAGCCTCTCCCGAATGAAGAAAGTAAACAGGAAAAACAATACATTTTTGTTTCCGCGAGATATAATGGCAGCTGCAAATCATTTGATTGAAATATATTTTGGAATGGGTATATTTGACGTTATGAATCATTTGAACAATAAGCGTATTCATTCTATAGCGAATCTCTTACAAGATCAACTTAGATTAGCCCTGATTCGTTTAGAAAATGTAGTTAAAGGAACTGTATGCGGTGCAATTAGGCATAAATTAATACCGACTCCGCAGACACTCCATTGCTGTAAGGCTATAAGCCAATAGCTCTTGCTATAAGCAACTCCTTTTCATATTTCTGCAAAAAAAAAAAAAAAAATTCAAATAAAATCTCTATTTTTTTAATCAAAGAAATAGAGAGTTATGAGAAGAAATAAGATAAATTTTATTGTGTAACCTGCCCTTGAAAAAATTTAAAACCAAAATTTCAATTATTCTAGTTCTTAGGCACAAAATCTAGATCGTGTGGAGTTAATTGAAATTGAATGAATTCACATAGAATAAATTACATGCAAAGGTGACAGATAATGAAAATTGAGTTTTTATTAGCTATTTCAGATTGAACTGGAGTATCATGGTATAATATTTTTTACCATAAAACATACGCGCATATTTATTTATCTATGGATTCATTAATCCATCTATACATTTTTATATTCAAATGAAAGGAACGAGTTTTCATTTTCAAATGAAGAAAATGTCAGAGATGAGATCAAAGGAGGATATAGATTTCGTTTTCCTTTTTAGTTAGGGAAAAAAGAAAGATAAAAAAAAAGCATGATTTTTGTTAAAATGAGTTATCTCACGTATAATAAATATCTAATTTCTTATAGTCTTATATTTAGATTAAGCCCCTCATTTATTGTCAATTGATTTTAAGTTGGATGCTTAACATTGTATCAGAGTTAAAAAAAATTTTTATTATTCTTTCTTAATTTGATACGTAAAAGGTTTTTTTCATTTTCCCTTACACATGATAAGGGCTTGTTAAAGTGGGTTATCCCACATCTAATAAATATCATGTAATCTTATATTTAGGTTATGGTATAAAACATAAAAGGTATAAGCCTTATACATGATGGAGGCTTATTAAAGTGAATTATCTCACATCTAATAAATATTTTATAATTTAATATTCAAGTTATGTATTATAAAACACAAAGGGTATAGATGTTATGATCCAGTGTTTAAACCTCTTCACATCTCAAGACGTGTAGTTTTTTGAGAACATAGAAAGTGCATTAGTGTATCCTTATTACATTCATCATGTTCTTCTCCATGTATTTTTTTAGATTCATTTTTTTATTATTTTTCAAATGAAGAGACTATTATATGTACTTTTGACTTAAATAGTGATCTATCCTAGGTACTTTTGATTCAAATAATGATCTGTCTTATTTAACTCATACTATGTCTAATCTAATTGAGGCTCCTATTGATACAGTTGTCCCCTCCCCATACATACCACCTTCATTTCGTCATTCCACCTGATTAAGAGAATCTAACACTCAAATTCATGGTTTTCACTATTATTATACTTTAGTCACATTACATAAACCTCATAATTTTCGTGAAGCTGTCTTTAATCCTATGTGGCAGCAAACAATGATAGAGGAGCTTCAGGCTCTTGAGAAAACTCATACTTGAGATATTGTTGAACTGTCTTCTAATAAGTTAGTGATTGATTGTGAATTGGATGTTTAACATGGTATCAAAATCAAGATTTTTTTCCGTTATCATTTCTTAATTTGTCATGTAAAAGACTTCTTTCATTTTCACCTACAGGTAATGAGACATGTTAAAGTAGGTTATCTTACATTTAATAAATTTTTAATTTTTTATAAGTGGATTATTTCATATCTAATAAATTTTTAATTTTTTATAACTTTATATTTAAGTTAGGTCCTTCTATTTACTGTAAATTAATTTTAAATGAAATGTTTAACAATTTTTTCATGATAAAAAAGAATGATAACACAGTACATAGACGACCTTGCCTTTTTGTCTGTGAATTTTTTCATTATCTGAACTTGGGGTTGGGGGCCATTTCCGATTCTTTCCCCTTGCCCTTGAATAGGGTAATCGTATATGATAAGCAACCAGTCAACAGCACGTGAAATGCACATGGATTGAAAGACACTAATGGTACTTTGCGAAAACTATTGTACATTGAAACAACTTTGTCCATTGCCCCAACATCGATTGTGATCGTCCCTTTCTGTTACAATAAAGACCCATTTTCCCAAGTCTCAATCCAAGACTTATAAAATCAAAATAAAAGCAAGATGCTATTGTATGCAAAATTTTAAGGATATGTTCAATTTTTTTTCTGTTAAAAAGCTTTGGCTTCGTGCATTTCACATCACTCTCACACGTCCTAAATTCATGCACGGGGCCAAGCTGGAGCTAGCAGCTGATCGAATCAAATCAAACTTAAATGCAAAATTTTGTGCTATATATATTTCAAATCTCCTTCGAGTGGTACCATACACCGTGTCCATGATTTTTGCATAATGGAAAAGGTTACGTTCATAATGACACATGCTCGCATCTCTACTTGGGCCATACGTGAAAATCTTCGATTGATTCGTTGTTATCCCCTGGACAGAGCTAGGTGTGGTTACCAAATGAGATATGTCCTTGTACAGATGTATCGAACCCTGATTATGAGGGGATTGTCGTGTAAAAACGTTGTTATGTACCTAAAAGAGATAGAGAGATACCCAGAAAAACATGGGGCCAAAAATAAGACATCAAATAATCAGTACAAGATCATGACTATTAGGCTACTAATGCTTTCATATATGGCTCATATTTTCCTGTCTTTTTTGACACGCATTGTCCTTTTTAACAAGTCCCACCATCGGTCCTCCCTTTTTGATTGATGATGACCATATTCATTCCTTTTGGTTCTTAGCATGAAGAAGAATAGTCCCGATAAATTATTATATACTATGCAATTCATATCAAATCATGAAGCAATGAAACTATCTTCTTTTAAAGACTAGAGACTCGTTCCTTGTCGCTAGTTAAAGGTTTTCTTTCACGAACTAATTATAATTTACAGCCTATTTTGGAAGATTTTAAAGCACGGTCTGCCATAAGATCATCATCATCATCATCATCATCATCATATAGTTCATGGATCAACCAGTAATTAAAAGCAATAATTTTGATACATATATTGTATTTTAATTGAGACAATGTTTATATGGCAAACATTGTGATTGAACCAGGGAAATTTGGAAATTCATAAGGCAAAGAAATTAGGTGAAACGTACAGTTATTCACGAAAGATTTATCGATGAAAAACATGATAATACCAAGTTCATGGGGCACAACGTCCAGCAAATTGAACTGATCATTATTAAATTGTACTGATAATAATGTGATAGAACAGAGGAAGTAGAATATATGTCGGGTTTTTGGGTGATCATGCGCACTGACCAGCGATAGCCAACTGATTAAGATTTCAATGGAGCATTAAACCGAAACTTTTGCTAACTGAATGATTTAAATCTTGAAAATTCGGAATTTTTTAAGTTGTGATATTCAATAAATCTAAAGAACAAATCATAATACTTGCAATTATTTTTTCTTTTCTTGTATTGCGATTTCTTTGTACAAAAATATGCTCGAAATTGGCTTGAACATCTTTTATGTGATACAAAGTTGACTATATGTAATGATTATTTCTTAACCAAAACACCTTTTGTCCATGCTATACCCAGCAAGTGATATAATGTTGGATATGGGTAAGATTATGATGTTCGAAGGTTTCCAAATTATATATATTAGGCGGCCTAACTAGCTACTCAAAACTTTTTAGGTCTATTATTAGAGTGTGGAAAATGTTTTGTGAATGAATTAGTCTAGTCAATGACAGATGCAAGTAGCATTTGAAAGATGTGTGATAATTGTGATCACTTTGGAAATTATTATCCATATATAATGATGAAGAAAAGCATTTCTTTAAAAAAAAATCATATTGTATAATTTTAAGAAAATCATATAAACTTGAATTGGGGATTAAAAAAAAAAGAAATTAGAGGGCAAATTATTTACTTAACTTCATTTTAAAGAAATTCAATCATAAAATGCAATCTTAGATAAGATAAAAATGCTTTCGTTACACTATCTAATAGAATTTTATAAAAAGCCTTGAAAATTAGTTCCATCTCCAATTAGTAAGAATAATCACCCATCTAACAATCCGAACGAGTCTACTTCAAGAAGGAAAGAAGAAAAAAAACATCGCATACCAGTCGCTAGCTTGTCATGTTAAAATCTGTTGAATTCGACTAAGCTAAGTTTTTAAGAGTTATTTTAATTTAATTATTATTGTATTTTAGTGTATACTTTTCTCTTCGGAGAATGCTGGTTTTGGAATTGGTCCCACGAAAAGCCTCACTTAGCTTTATTTGTTTGGGTTTGAAGCCTAAATATGCCAGGGCCATAGATCTACTATATAAATTTTTCTTAAATGAAGCCCATTCATTTGGCCCATATGTTGGGTGGGAAATTAATGTATCTGAACCCCAGTTTTTTTGGTCCAGAGCCTTTTCATATGTTTCTTCAATGTTGGTTTCATCTTTCCTTCTGCTACCTTTAACAAGAGCCGGTTGATTCTACACACTGTTGTGAACTGCTATTGTGCTTCAGACTTGCACTTAAAATTTTAACTTCGGCCTGTGGCATAGCATAATTGCAAGGCCCGAGGGCAAGAATGTTACGGAAGAAAGGACCATTGGGCCACGTATGGACACTGCATAGTTGACTGAGGGATTCTTGTTCTTCTTCTCCTTTTGTTTCTACACAAATTCTAGGAAGATGGTAAAGCTCAACTTGAATATTGGGTTATCATTTAGTTAATTAATCACATTAAAAATTGTATAATAGTAATTAAAAAATTTATATTTCAGATATCAAATTAAAAATTTTTTAAATTTAAAAATCATATTGAACATTTTACCATAATATTAACCCTGTATTTTATTTTTGATTTTGTTCTAAATTGTTGCATCTAGAAAAGATTTGTGGATATCTAAAAAAAAAAAAAAGAAAAGAAAAGAATTATTGAAGTTAAAGTCTTTTTTTTTTCTTTAAAGAAACAATATATTATGCAAAATGTCCAGCATTTAACAATTAAAATAGCAAATTTCAAAAAAAAAAAAATGAAATAGCACAAATGAA